GTTAGGTTGCCTTCCTGAGTCTTCTGACAGACAGCATCAAGGCCACAACTGCAGCCCATCACTTTACCAAGCAGTGGCATGACATACTCTGCATAATTCTGATCAGTTTCAGAAGCCCTGACTGTGAAGAAACATCTTATATGAAGATAACAAACGAGATGAGGGGGAGAGCCTTAGCGGAGAGGCACTGAGCACAAAGCACGAAAGACAAAAGCGGACCAATAGAGATGGGCAGTTCTTTAAGGTGGGCAATACCTTGAAAGTGAGGAAGAGAAACACTAAATTGACAAGGAAATTAACTCAAGCATTTGGAGATAGGGATGTATGGAAAACACTAACCAAAACAAAACGGTGGTGCACACAATGCCTCCTGCTTCGCGCGGGAAGGCAAGACTCGCTGACGGGGCTCTAGGCAGCGGGGAGTGACGCGATCCTTTGGGAAAGCCGCTTCACCTGGGTCCCCGCACGGAGAAGGCGGCAGCAGAGCAGCCCCAGGCCCGACGGGAATCGCAACGCGCCTGCCCCGGGCCCGCGCTGAGGCGACACCGGGGCAGGCTGCGCCTAGGGCGCGGGCACTAGCCTGGCTCAGGACAGCCGGCCTCGAGCCCCTGCTCACCCACAGCCGCCGTCGCTGGGCCGCGGGCTCAGCCCGGTCGGGAGGCCCGGCCCTGCTCAGGGCGCGGGGACAGGCTCAGGCGAGCGTGAGGTGCCCAAGATGGAGGCAGCGCACCGGGGCCCCGCGCGGCCTCCCAGCGCACTACGCGGGCGAGTCGCCGAGACACCGGCCCGCGGCCGCTGCAGCCCGGAGCCGCCCCCGGCGCGGCTCCCTACTCCGCGCGGCCAGAGCGCCCCCGAGAGCTGGCCCCGCGCTCACCTCGGGTCGGCCGGCGGAGACCGCACTCGCCGCAGGCTCCTCTCACGCTCGGGCCCTCGACGGCAACGACCGGTACGAGTCGAGTAAAAACCTCCAGGGACCCTCCCTGGGACCCACCCTGCGCATGCGCGCCCTCGGCACCCCACACTGCGCATGTGCGTCTGCGAGCGCGGTGTCCTCTGGGAGATGTAGTACCTCAGGTCGAGCTAGCTCCTTCCTCGGGCGATGCCGGGTCGCCATGACTCCGCCCCAACCATCCTGGGGGCTGCAAATCGGGACCAGGCTTTGCGGGGGAATAGCTCAGTGGTTTGAGCATTGGCCTGCTAAACCCAGGGTTGTGCGTTCAATCCTTGAGGGGGCCACTTAGGGAACTGGGGTAAAAATCTGTCCCCTTTGAGCAGGTGGTTGGACTAGATACCTCCTGAGGTCCCTTCCAACCCTGTTAGTCTATGATTCTATGGCCCTGGCCATCCACAGGCTCCGCCCCTACTCGCCCAGGCCCAGCGCTCTCTGGGGCAGCGCGATGGCTCCCCAGGCGCGTGCTGGGCTGGGGTGTGGGAGGACTCAGGCCTGCCCTGGGCTGTGCAAGCCTGTGGGTTCCTGCCTGTGCGCTCGGCACTGCATGCAAGGGAAGCCGGTCTTGTGGGGACGTGATCAGAGCTGCCAGGCTAGGTCAGAGCAATGGTCCGTCTAGCCCAGTGTCCTGTCTTGCACCAGTGGCCAGTGCCACGTGGCTCAGCAGGCGTGACCATGCCAGGGCAGTTAGTGCCTGATCCAGCCCTTTCCTTCCCCTTCCTTGTGCTTTCTCCAATTCAAATACATCTGTTTGAGCTGGGGCAACCAGCACTGCCCTCAGTAGTCCAAGTGTGGGTGTGCTATAGATCTGTACAGAAGTATTATGATATTTTCGGTCTATCTATCCCTTTCCTGATGGTGCCTACATTGGTAGGTTTTTTGGCTGCCACTACACATTGAGATGTTTTCAGAGAACTATCCCCAATGACTCCAAGATCTTTTTCTTCAGTGGTAACAGCTAATTTAGACCCCATCATTTTATATGTATAGTTGGGATTATTTTTTTGTACCTATAAACATTGATTTTCATCTGCCATTTTGTTGCTCAGTCACCCAGTTTAGTGAGATCTCTTTGTAACTCTTTGCAGTCAGCTTTAGACTTAACTCTCTTGGACCCAGAATCCAACCTGTTAACAGAAGTGACTTGTATCTGGGTGGAGAACTTCATCTATTTATTATTTCTTAACTACAAGTGTGCTTTGTGTTGTGCATAATGCAAGTATAAAGACACTCCATGATCCAGAAAGCTTACAGTCAAAAAGAGAAGGCAAGAGGCACTGTGGAACCCACAGGAGGTGGTTCAGTACTTAGCTAGCTCCCAGTGACCACATATTTTTTACAAATCCCAGAAGTAATTTGGGCCCAAACTTTAATGTTTTGTCTTTACAAAATTCTTTATAATTTTTTTTTAAGAAAACATAATTCTGTGTTAAACTACTGCAAGAAATTAAACAAGGCAGAAGATGTTTAAACTCAAACCAAAGTGTGAGGGATGGGTGAGGGAGCGTAGGTAGATAAGGAAACAAAATGAACAGCATTTAACATAAAAGCATAAATCCCATCTCATAGGCTTTTGGAATTGACAGGCTGGTTCAGCCCCAAGGTCCATCTAGTCCAGTGTCCTGTCTCCTATGCTTGCCTATGGCCTGTGTTATACAGGTCAGATTAGACCAGTGGTTCTCAACCCGCGGCCCAAACAGCACACAGCTGCAGTCCATGTCACATCCTCAGGGCCATACAGGTAGTGTATATATTGCGTGAATGCAGCCCACAATGGTAAGTAGGTTGAGAACCACTGGCCTAGATCAGGTGACCAGACAGCAAGTGTGAAAAATCGGGATGGGGGTGGGGGGGTAATAGGAGCCTATGTAAGAAAAAGACCCAAAAATTGGGACTGGCCCTATAAAATCAGGACATCTAGTCACCCTAGGCCTAGATGATCACAACGGTCTCCTCTGCCTTGGGAATTTATGAATAGTGAGAGGACAAGATTAAAGCCAAACAGAAGGAAAAGGGCTAGAGTATTTAAAAAAAAAAGAAGCAGCAGCAGTGGAAGAGAAGATAGCAGCACATGCAGTTACCCGAGGGCCACTGAACATGAGACAGAATAACTATCTCAGCGAGCTCAGAGGTTCAGGCAGGCTGTCTTGCCCTCTGGGGAAGGTTTATAGTTAGATCATGTTGAACTGTTCTCTATTCACCTATTTTAGTAGAAATGGTGGTAATTTGGGAAGAGTGTTATTGGAGTTCAGAGGGGAGATGTGCCAGGAGGCACTTGGAGTTGATGCACTCAGCAGCAGGACTGGTTATCTGTGTCACTCCGGGTTACTATTAATAAAGCTCTTAGCTCTGTAGCTTTATTGTGCTCCTGGCTGCTCCACGCCATGTGAAAGAGCCCATTTCTCAGGCACCTTGTTTGACTCTGCTTGGCTCTGGACCCATTGTACTGAGCCAATTCACCATTTCACTCTTTGTGGTGTCTCTGGGTGTTCATTTTGAGGAGAGCTTTTTTTTTTTCCCCCCAAGTATCACTGTTCCTGTGTGAGGGATGGGGGATACCTTCTCTTGCTCTGAAGGGATGGGGGATCAGGTATTTGACTAGTATAGACTATTCTTTTGTGGGCAGGGAGCTCTGCAAGCATGGGAACCAAACTATTGTGGGAATCTTCAGAGACCTTAGTAACAGCAAAGCTCTTGGGCTCAGATTCATAAAGGTGTTTAGACCCTTAAGTTTGGGGTTTAGGCTCCACTGCAACCCACAAAATTGCCACCAATCCCTGTAGGTGCCTAAACTCATTCAGCACCTACATTATCAGGGTAAAAGTTCCTTAAGTACCTAAGTTTCTGCCTCTGGCCATGTGCACTGCTGTCTCACTCTGGGTGTCCAGTCACCTGCCTCCCACCTAAACCCCAGAGCTATCCATGAACCTGGAGAAACTAGGGGTTTACCCACCTAGCTCGGGTGTGAGGGCCAGTCCAGCAGGCTTGCCCAGAGACCACCAACTAGATTGGGTCCCATTCAAAATGGCGAAGGAGGAGTTGCTGCCACGTACCATATAACTTGTAGTCATAAATACATCCATTTGTGATTTGTGCCTCTCTTGTCAAAAAAGTCACATCCCACCACTGGTGGACACTAGACTTGGACGCAGTATTCCAGTAGTGGTCAGACCAGTGCCAAATACCTAGGTAAAATAACCTCTCTGCTCGTACTTGAGATTTCCCTATTTATGCATCCAAGATTCACATTAACCCTTTTGGCCACAGCGTTGCACTGGGAGCTCAAAGCCAGCTGATTAGCCACCATGACCCCACCCCCCACTAATCTTTCTTAGAGTCACTGCTTCCCACGATAGAGTCCCCCATTGTGTCAGTATGGTTTAGATTCTTTGTTCCTAGCTGTATGCATTTACATTTAGCCATGTTGGATGTTTTTCTGAAAGCTCTGCTCTCGGAATTATTTTGGGGCCGTTTCATGGGCTGTGTTATACAGGAGGTCAGACTAGATTATCACAATGGTCCCTTCTGGACATGTGTCGCGGGTGGTCACCCCACTCTGTCCCTGAAGGGGTTAAAGCAGCCCTGGAGAGGGCTGCAGCTGGGAAAAGGTAGGCTGATGGGGAAAGCAGCCACAACTGTGGCCAGCTTAATCAGGGCCCAGATGGCCCTTATAAGAGGGCTGTGGCCCAGAAGCTAATACACACACACTCTCTCTCCAACTTCTTGAGAGAGAGAGAAGGACCTGGCTGCCTGGGAGCTGAGAAGGGTACCTGAGGTGGAGCAGTGCTGGGGAAGGACAGAGGGAGCTGGGGAGCTCCAGCCAGGAAAAAAACCAGGCTGCAGGCCATGCTAAAAGGGCCAAATAGGTACTGGGGCTGCAGAGGGACAGCCCAGAGATAGGCAAAGGCAGCAGGTCCTAACCCCCTTGCCGGCGATGAGTGGTTTACAGACTGCAATTGGCCCCAGGGAGCGGGGGCTAGATGATGACTGGCAGTAGCCATTGAGGCAAGGTTGGGGATAGAGGGTTGGGAGTTCCCCTGGGAGGGGAGACCCCAGGGTAAAGGGCACTGGGGTCTGGGAGGGACATGGGGGCCAGTGGCAGGTGAGACACCAGCCTGCAGAGGATGCTCTGGTCTGGAAGAGCTAATTCCCAGAACAACCAGCAGGAGGTGGTGTGCCAGTGAGTCTCACCTCGCTACAACATGGAATCTATGAATATTAAAATACATATTGTTTGCTTGCACTGAGCTTACCAAGCAATGCAGATTACTCTGTATCAGTGACCTCTCCTTTTCATTACTGACCACCACCCCCAATTTTTGGGTCATCTACAAACTTTATCAATAATGGTTTTATGTCTTCTGCCATGTCATTAATAAAGATATTAAATTGTGTAGGGCCAAACACTGATCTTTGCAGAACCCCACTAGAAACACACCTGTTCAATGATGATTCCCCATTTATAATTAAATGTTGAGACCTATCCATTAGCTAGCTTTTAATCTGCTTAATATGTGCCATCTTAATATTATTCCAATTTTTTAATCAAAATGTTATGTGGTACACTATTACCTTTATCAACAAAACTTGTAATCTCATTCAAGAAAGATATCAAATTAGTTTTGACAGGATCTATTTTCCATAAACCCATGTTGATTGGCATTTATTAATAAAAAATTAAAGGAGAGTAATATAATTAAGTCCCATATCAGCTGCTCCTTTATCTTTCCTGGGATCAATGTCAGACTGGCAGGTGCATAATTACCCAGGTTATATGGTTTACCCTTTTGGATACTGTCACAACATTAGCTTTCTTCCAGTGTTTTGGAACTTCTGTGATTTTTCAGGACTTAATGAAAATTAACATTAACAGTCCATTGAGCTCCTCAACCAGCTCTTTTAAAACGCCTGGATACTGATTTAAAAATGTCAAACTTTAGTAGCTGCTATTTAACTTCCTCACAAGTGTACAAGAAATATCCCAGTGTAGACAATGCCAGAGAGACATAGGTGACCTGAACTCTTTACACTTGGGAGGCAGTGTCTCTAGCAGCTTTAAATTCAGAGCTGGCCCTCAGTCTCCAGGGAATTCAATCTGCTCACCTGGAGATGGTTCTGGGGTCCCACATGCTTGTCTTTGAAAGAAAGAGGCTTCAATCTCTTTTGAAAAAAGAAGAACAGGAGGACTTGTGGCACCTTAGAGACTAACAAATTTATTAGAGCATAAGCTTTCGTGGACTACAGCCCACTTCTTCGGATGCATATAGAATGGAACATATATTGAGGAGATATATATACACACATACAGAGAGCATAAATAGGTGGGAGTTGTCTTACCACCTCTGAGAGGCCAATTAATTAAGAGAAAGAAAAAAAAAACTTTTGAAGTGATAATCAAGATAGCCCAGTACAGACAGTTTGATAAGAAGTGTATCAAACTTCTTATCAAACTGTCTG